TGTGTGTGTGTGTGTGTGTGTGTGTGTGTGTGTGTGTGTGTGTTTCTAGGTAAGAGGAAACTTTCAAGAGTTGGTTTTCTCCTACTATGTGGGTCTTGGGCATCAAAATCAGGATTTCAGCCTTGGCAGCAAGTGCCTTTACCCTCTGAGCCATCAGCCCTGTATGCCTTTAGTTTTTATCTTGGCTTCTTCTAGTTCATGGATTCTTAGTTTGATGTCCTTATCACATCCCAGAGTTTTTAAGATGTTGTGATCTTGCATATATCTTTCCCTAATCCCTTGATATCAAAATGTAGTATTTCCTCAACCAGTCTGACTAATCTAGTCTATTGATGATACTTGCTATTGTGTTTTTTATTTAATTAAACTTTTCCTTTTTTTTTTTTTTTTTTAAAAAAAAACATTTTTATTTTATGTGTATGTGTGTGTTTCTGTGTGACTGTACGCCACCTGAGTGTGGTGCTCATGGAGGCCAGAAAAAGGTTTGGATCCCCTGGAGCAGAGTTGCAGGCAGTTGTGAGTTGCTGGGCATGGGTGCAGGGAACTGAATTTAAGTCCTCTGGAAAAGCAGCAACGCTTTTAACTGCTGAGTCATCCTCTATCCCCTTGGTCGAATTTTTCACTTTCAATATTTGTGTGTTTTTTTTAAAGATCTCAATCTCCTTTCTGAATGTCTTATTCATGTTGCTGCCTTTCTCTTTTACATTCCTGTCTTAGCTACATTGGAGTTGGTTTCCTTATTTCACTCTTCTTTCTTCTTTGTAATCAGCTATTATGTTTAGAAACGATCTTTTAAATTCTTTTGCATATCACTGCTTCAGTATTTTTGGATTCAGTAACTGAGGAGTTATGTTCTCTTGAAGTATTATGTTGTTTTTTTCATGTTTCTTGTATTTTCAGGTTATGATTTGCACATCGGGTATCTCTTTCGATTTTGAGGATCTTAGTCAAGAATATACTGTTTTTTTTTTGTTTTTTTTTTTTTTAAAGGCAGAGTCATTCTATAGCCCCAGCTGGCTTGGAACTCAACTATCTAAATTAAGTTGATCTCACAGAGACCTGCCTGCCTTTGTCTCCTGAGTGCTCAGATTAAAGCACCACATCTAGCAACAACATAATCTTGAGAGCTCCATCTTAGTACCACTCAGAAAGGAGAAAAAAGACTGCTATCTCATCATCAACACCAAGTCATACAAGATATGGAATATACTTAAAATTGATTAAAGTCAGCTAATATACCACTGATAGAGAACAGAAATAGCAAAGATAATGTGGAGTGTGCTTTGATGATAAACATTCACCTTAAATAATGTAGTTAATTGAACAATTTGTGTTGTAAAGATTTACCAAAGATGGACTGAAAGCATGTAGTATTTTCCTCTAGCCATGAGAAATGGTAACAGAAAATATTCTCAGCAATGTTCAAATGTTGTTATTTTGTTTGGTGAATAGCACTTAATGAAAACATTTAAAAGTTAAGAGTAGTAAAAAATAATTTATATAGGTGATAGAATTCAAATATAACAACTAGGGATGCAGGTCATTCAAGTACTGGAAAGACTGCCTGTGAGTAATGTTAATCAGCAACTTAGTCTGCTAATTTTATGTTGTATGAGAGGAGTACATTGTAAAACTACTGCACTCTTCAGTGTTAAGTTTATGATCAGCCTCCTGCATTTTCCACTCATTATTTCAGTATTTCTTCTTGTATAGGTTAGCTAAAAATATAATTAGCTGATTGTATATAATGTAAACATTTAAAATAAGATACATTAAGGTAACTTTGGGAGCATAGTTATGTTTTCCCTTTTGTATGTAAAAACATTTGTTATCAGTGTGTTACCATTTGACTTTTTATAAAAAGGAACTATGTTTTATGAATGTTGTAAGCAGTTACTAAAATATATTTAAATATAGCCTTTTAAAACATTGATTATGTTGCTAAGAAGTAGCTATTTTGTTTACTAATATATGTGTTTTAACTTACAGGAAAACATCTTTATGTATGGAGGCAGAATTGAAACAAATGATGGCAATGTCACAGATGAACTATGGGTGTTTAACATACATAGTCAATCATGGAGTACAAAAACTCCCACTGTTCTTGGACATGGTCAACAGTATGCTGTGGAGGGACATTCAGCACATATTATGGAGTTGGATAGTAGAGATGTTGTCATGATCATAATATTTGGATATTCTGCAGTATATGGTTATACAAGCAGCATACAGGAATACCATATCTGTGAGTTTCTTTAAAAATATAATTTCTTTATTAGTTGAGAGCATTTTTATTTTTAATAAAATCTTCTAATGATATGTTCAAAATGGTGAGTTGTTTTAGATTGGAATTATAAGTCAAGGATCAATTATTTTTTATAAAGTCTTTTTTATTAGCTTTTGTCCTATAATATTTAGGTATATTCCTTAGCCAAATGAGGAATGTTGAAAACTCATTTTCAAAGATTTGCAAATATTTTAAAATATGTGAAATTCCAATAGATGGTGCTGTTTCCTTGGATTTTACTTAGGAACCTAAAGCTGAAACTAACAGTCTCTTCACTGTGCGTTCTATGGCTTTTAGGATTTTCACTTTTAGTTTTCTGTTCTTTATCTTATTGCTAGATGTCATTCATTGCTCCTTTACAGCAAACACCCAAGGACAGACTGTTGGCTTCAGAAAGAGAGTATTAGTTAGTGTGTCCAGGTGACTTGCACAGACCCCACAGGATTTTCAACACTATTGCTCTTGTTGTTTGATTTTTTTCTTTCTTTTTTTCTGGTACTGTTTTTTTTACTCTGTATGACATTCTCAAGCAGTGGTAGTCTTTGTGGTGCTTTTATTTTGCCTACATATATATACCTTACGGTTGGTATTTCAGCATATTTCTGGCTCTAGCCCATTAATAAGCTATAGTTCTCTTGGGCGTACACCACATTTAACTGTGTAGAGTCCTTATACACCCCAGTGAGAAAACTCATTTGTAGGCGACAAAGTGTATGTGTTCAGGAGATGATGCCCTTCAGTGTTTTCCCTGCAGTCCTTTCAAGTGGCCAGAGTTTTGTTTCTGTGTCTTCTGCACAGCTGGGCTGAAAGCAGGACGTGTCATCTCTGCTCTTCATGGTTGACTCTCCATTCTACTCTCCCTTCTCTAAGTCTCCTGGCTTTGAATAGTGTACAGATAGACCCTCAACTTACCTCACCTACACGCATCCTGTTTCCTCAGAACACTTTTGTCTTTTGAACTTAGATTCTGCTTTCCTTCCCTGTATACTACTGCGTATATCAGCGGGTACATTTTTTAAAATTTAAATATCTACATAAATACTTTAAATACCATCTTCTTAATTTCTTCATATGTGTAGGAAAGATCTTGTTTCTACCCTTAGTCTCTCCTGTTGTCAGTCTTGACTTTCTCATTCCAGTACCTGCAGTGAGTCCTGTAATTTCTACTTCAGACATCTTACTCATCTTTTCAGCTGACTCCTTGTACCTCACTGCTCTTACCTCCTCCTGCTGTCTGCCATCCTATTGCCTGTGCTAACCTTTCCCCGCATTAAGTTCATAATCACCAATATCAAATAACTGTTGACATTCCTGAGTACCTGTCAGTCCAGCTCATTCTCTCTCCCGGTTTTCCTTGATTAGTATTTCATCCTTGTTTCTCTCTGCTCTAATATCTTTAATATTTACTGAGAAAACAGAAGTAATCAAAAGAGAACTACTGTTGAGAACATGTTGGAGTATTATGGTTAATAAACAATACTACACATTAACTAAGCTTCCGTACACACATACATTATTAGTTTAACTCATGATACTGAAGCAAACAGGTTGTCACCTACTTTTTCTTAAACAAGAATTACATTTTTTTTTATGTTAAGGACTGATTTTTCCGATTTTGTTATTAACTTTTGGTTTTATTATAGTATTCAGAGAGTATTGTAGAGATTATGCGGTTTTGAAATTACTGAAAGATTTTCATAAATATTTTCATAAAGTTTTCATAA